TTACAAGATACCTGCTACCCGTGTGCAGTGCCAGGTGAATTCAGCATTTCGGAAGCATCCTGGGAATCCTTTTCCTTAGCCCTGCAAAAGACAGACTGAGAGAAGGAGGCATGGGGAGGGAGGAATAAAATTTTGTAAAGCTCAAGGATAATGCTGAGGAGTTGAGAGATATTTCCAGCCATCAAGGAAAAGAAGATAAGGAGAAGAGGTCAGAACACAGAATGACTACTCTCAAAACTGAACCTTTTCAGTATACAAACTATACAATGCTGTTACATGTGAGAACTGGGATCCAGTAGTATGTTCTCACTGAAGGTCATTCCAAGTGGGATGTCATTGCAGATGGATCACTTGTTATGGATGGGGGCACAGGAGTGAGGTACAAATGGAGTTGGGGATGTTTTGTCCCAGTGCACAATGGGGATCATGAAGCAGTACAGCAGGAGCATGGAGGCCTTGGAGGAGCTCTGGGGCAAGTCTGGAGACTATTCAGCTTGTACAGAACAGCTTTCCATTCTCTGATCAAGATAACATCTCACTTGACGCTTCCTATAACATGGTAAGAGAAAGAAAGGAAAATTACAGAGCGGTCCAAGGGAAGACCAAAAGCTAGCCAGTGTATCTTCTGATGCATGTACTGACCTTCAAGAACCTGCTGTTCAGATACAGTGACATAAGCAAAGAGAATTAGGCCAAGGGAGYTCGCCAGCCCTGCCTGCCTCCCCACGTGCAGAGCCCCTTCGACAGAACTGCGCTTAGTGAGGCTGATCTCCCAGGGGCGACACGACCACAAACCTGGGCTACTCTGTCGCATGAGCAGGAGCAAACGGTAAGCAAAGATAAGGAGGAATCCCCCACTAAAAGAACTACTTAAGTGATATCATGTGATCAACAAATAAAGATTAAAGCAAAAGAAACATTTAGGTAGGAAAACAAAACAGGGGAGTTCAGCCCACACCGTTTGAAACCACCTCTCCCTCTCTCCCCCTCTCTCTCTAGGTAAATAAGCCCTTTGGAGCCTGCTCCAAACAGTGCCTTCAGCTGCAGGTCTTTAAAAACAAGGATCGTTTGCAAAATTCTCATTTGGGTAGTGATTTTTATCTTCATAGCAACTAACTAGGCTGATACAGAGCCTGATCCATAAAGCAACATGCTTATTCTCAAGTCAAAAATTGGGAACTGACTACTGGTCCAGTTAGGAGGCACATAAAAGAAAAAAATATCCTGCCGTATGTGATTAAAGTGTATATATAAAGGAATAGGAAAGTACTAATTTAAAGAAAAAAATCTATATAATTACAAAACCATACGAAATTATCCCATCTCTGATCTTAGGCCAAATCCTGCTGAAAATTATAACCTTGCTATTGTGGTACAYATAACCAATATGTTTTATACCACATCCTTCCTTATTCATTTGGTTGCTAAGACTAAATTATTTTATGTCATCCATTCAGAGAACATCAGGAATATAAATTCTCTATGCAAGGCTAACTTGCATAAATCTTCAACTTTTATACTGCCAGTAGGCCAGGTTGTTTCCTGGGCTCAGTTATATGTCAAATACATATTTCACCACTATGTCAGAGAGGAGAAGACACAAACATAGCTCAGGACAGATATTATTCTCTCCCTATTTGTAAGCATCAATGAGTTTAAATTTTACACACATTTCCAACAGTAAGTTTACTCAAATGTCAGTAACAGGTAAATCTACAAGCGGGAAATAATGAACTTGATTTCTTGCACAAATTAATGGCAATGTGGACATGTCATTACAAAGGAGAGGAATGTCATTACTGTCACCTAGATAAATTCTTTAGCCGTCACATTAGATCCCTATCAGTTTTGAGAAAAAAAAAAATTTACCCCAATAACACAGTGTAAGAAGAAAAATGTTCTTTCACATTACACAAAAAATTAAGTAAACCTGCTGATTTGAACCAAAATCAACAAGTGCAAATAACAATTAAATTCAAGATAAACTGCTAGCGTCCACGGCCACACACTACATAGTACATTTTAATACTCAGCAGAGGAACCCCTTCCTTGCCCAGCCCGCAGTAAAGTGCCCTGCCGCTTGTGTGGAGCAAACGCGGAGCTCAGCGCCGCGGCCGGGACGTGTCCGCTCCTCTGCCCTCGGAGAGGGAGCCCCACTTTGTGCCTGGCACAGAAAGCACAGCCAGGAGCAGCCAGATGTCCATGGAAATGATGAGGGGAAGGTTCCCATTATGCACAAACATATGCACGAACATTATGCATTATGAAGGGCATGTGTGGTAAGCAGTGGCACAGGACAGTTGCTGGGGATTCTAGGTAGGCTCTATTTTCCGATGGCTTTCAGCAGCACCAGGGGAACATCAAATGCATATTCACCACCCTGCAGCTTCAGCACAGCCCCGGCTTTACTGAAACCATCAACGTGCACATCTGTGTGTCCTGGCAGACAGGCTGTAGCGCTGCTTTCCAGCCGCTCGGTCACTGGATCTGTGCTGTGCATAAGCAGCTACCTCTGACAAGAAGTGGCCCCAAACCAACCAGCACCTTCCTGGAAATGAGACGACCYGTCTGTCACACAGACTTTTTAAGGGTTGGCTTTGCCCAGACAACGCTGCTTCCTCTTCSAAAAACACAGCCCGCAAGGCCCAACTGCTCTCAGTCTCGGGGTGCTCAGTGCTGCCCGATGTGGCCCCGCACCAAGCAGAGCGGAGACCTTGGCCGCAGCCGGGTGCGTGTGCAGCACGGCGCAGGCTCCACGGCTGCGGCGGGGCAGAGCAGAGACCCCTTCGAGCCCCAGGGCCCGGGGAGCACGGCAAGGGCTGGCAAAGCCCCTGCCATGGCTGGTGGCCACGGGACACCCGGGAGACCCCGACACTGCAGGAGGTGTCCCCAGCCCTCCGGGCCAGCACGCGCACGCTTCCCATTCAAGCAGCTCTTAGGCAAGTCAGCCTCTCTTCCAGGAGGAAACAGATCTACGGCAGTTAAAAGGCCACCTTTAACACATTTTAATATATAAGCCCACGTAAAGCTTGCAGCAGGCCCTGCTGGTGGGCCTGCTGCGGGAGGCAGCTCTGCATTTGCTGCTGACCCTCCTGCAGCAGCTCATCCRCCCGAGCCTTCGTCCCCCTCCTTTCCCCACGTGTAACACAACTGTAGAGTCCACATAACCGTCCTGTTCTTCTTCTGGAAGGCTTTCTCAATGCCTGATGACATTTCTTCTTTCTAAGGGGCAGCCTGCTGTTCAAATGGCATGCCTCTCTGGCAGGGTGCAGCCTGTCAATTTGTTATCTCTGTGATGTTATACAAATGAAGTCCTGTGAAAATGAATGATTGAATGACTCCAATTCCCAGTTCTGTTCTGAAAAAAAACCCTCATCTTTATGGTATCTACTTYGTTTTTGCTACAAACTTGAGTTATGATCTGATGACAACTGATGTTCTTGTGATCAACACAGAATATAAAGATGCTATTGTAGTTCAGACACGTCTTCTGTTTACACCCAAATAATTTATAYTCTTACACAACTCTGGAAAAACGTAGCTGTCTTTTGACAACTTAGTCACAGCATAGAAGCAAAGATGATCGAATCGCGTCTTTAAGGACCGGCTTTGTGCAACCAGTTCATTGGGAGAGGCCTAACGCCAAACTTTGGGTTTTAAACACCAAAACGAGTGGAGAGGAAGACAAATTACACTGTCTCCAGACTGTTTGAGAGAGCTGGAACGGCGCAGGCGCGAGGGGCACTCGCAGCCCCTTTGGCCCTGCTCAGAAGCGAAGGGCCGCGCGGTGACGGGAGAGCCGGGCAGCACCGGGACGGGCACYGGGCCGGGAGCCGCGTTGGCGCCACGCGTCCGGCCGCCCACCGCCACTCTGCTCTTATTGCGCGGCCCTCGTTAAACAGAAACAGGGATTATCCTTAGTGAGACAGCTCGAGGATAACAAGCGACTCCAAAAGAGGCTAATCCAGTTTATTAAACAAATCCAGTTGAAGACGTGCCAGCACTTGCCCGAGACCAATAAAATAAATGTTTCAAAGCGAAAGTACATTTATGCAACTGCTTTATAGAAGCTTCTACTCAAAATGCTGGGCTGGGGTGCCCGGAGAGGCAGCGGCGTCTCCATCGTCCCCATCCTTGGAGATGCTCAGACCCACAGGSACACGGGGACCCCGCTGCTCCGGGTGGCCCTGCCTGAGCAGGGCATGAGCCAGCCAGCCCCCAGGTCCCTGCTGGCCTCCGCTCCTCTGGGATGCTTTAAAAATGCTACTCTCACATGGATCTATTTTCCTTAAACACCTGTTTTTTAGGGCCTGAGAAATGTCTGGGAGAATCAGAATAGCCTGTGCCTTTTCTCCTCCTCACTTTTTGATGTTCAGGTCAGAGGTTCAACTGCTAATGAGCCTCCCTAATCCCAACACCAAAGCCAAGATGTTCAACCATCCAGGCACACGGGCTTAAAGCAAGGCCCACGACCAACACCAAAACGCCTGAGCAAGCACGACTAGGAATCTACACGGATCTCTACTTTGCAAGCACAAACACGGATCTTACGTTGAAGCCATGAAAAGTCCTCAAGCGCATCTCATTTCTGCCACAGCGTATGGAGCAGCGAGGAAAGGCAGAAGGTGGCAGGAAGCCCGTGGTCTCGCCAGGCTGTGGCAGCTCCGACACGACGCTGGCCTCGCTGAGCTCCTCACTGAGCTCCTCGCTGAGCTCCCAGGCCGGGTGCTTCCCCTACTTGCTCCRTTCTCCAGGAATGCTCTGCAGGAGCATGGAAATCAGGTCAACTAGACAATCAGACATCTTCCTAATGAATGATAACTGTGGAGGAGTATAACATAATGGTGTATAATAGGAGTGAAAATTATTTTCTGTTAGAGGGAGATGACAGTAAAGAATGTAACATAGCCAAGGAAAAATACAAGATAAAATACAGCCTAAACTGTAACTGTCTCTACAACACCCACAGCCCTGAAGCTATCCCATCACCTTTTTCCATTCCATTTCTAAATGCAGCCTTCACTGGCCTCTGGCTTGCGATGCCGTCAGGGCTGGTCAGTGCCTTCATGGGAGCGTGTTCCCTGGGACCCTGGCGGGCACTGCCCTGGAAGCGCAGGTGGGACTGCAGGTATGCGGTGGGCAGATCACAYGCTGAGGGAACATGCTGCTCACTCCATGCAATAACAGTCGGAGATGGGAGTTTCTGCTAGAAATGAGAAGAATTCTGAACATAGCAACAAGGAAAGGTACAGCATAAACACATTGCTCTATAAAGATTAAACGCAAAGGAATGTCTAGACAGTTAAATTCCTATGGATTTTGCTCACCAGACTCCTCACACGGAGATCTATTTTGTTTCCACACAAGATCTGACAGAACCTTCAGCCCACTGTGCAGGAGCCCAACCAGTAACGGCCTTCACCCTTCACCGCTGCTCCAGTGAGAGCCGCAGAGCCACAGGCAGGAGCTCCTGCACGCGGTGCTGGTCCGAGCAGGCTCTGCGCTGCCAGATAGATAGAAGCAGCACGGAGGCCTCTCTCAGCGTGCCAGCACGAGCCCTGCATGGGTAGGGGCACAATGTACTCGCAGGGGTGGAGGTTATCTGGGTCTCACGGAACCGGCTGCGCTAGCGCATCCCACAGCTCGCCAGTGGGAGTAAATCTTGCTTGTAAATCTTACAGAGCAAATTCTGAAGCAAGTCTGCCTTTAGGTATAGCTAAGGCAATTTACTATGATCTATAAAAGATAAAATAAGGATCTTTCACTTAAGATCTTTTTTTTTTACACTTATTTTCTTGAGAATGGAGTTAGAAACAGAAGCACGTCCTCCTCCCCCAATCCGACTCAGTGATCTGGTCTSCTTTTTAACATAATTCTACTCCCAGGATTCCTTAATTGAGAAGTTTAAATAAATGAAATTATGAATATTGTATTATTGTTTAGCTTACAGAAAGCCTTTGTGCAAGGCTCTCAAAATTCAGAAATATGATGGGTATAAGACTACATAAATCATGGGAGGTTGTTCATTTCTGGACCCTTGGGACTTGAAGCAGCAACTTCCTCAATTATTTCACATAAATCAGAAAGGAAGAAGTTCAGATTTCCTGCATTGTAATGGAAACACATACTTTGAGGAGCTACAACTGGAGATCTGTGAAATCTAATTTCCTGGAATGGAATTTTGCCAGTCGGACGTTCCTGAGAAGAGGCGCATGTGTGTGTTACAGCTCAGAATGAATAAACCTTTGGGCATCTAGTGGCTGATGGGTTAATTTTGTGAGGCAGGGACACGGAATTACCCAGCAGGTTTCAGCAATTATATACATTACCCTAAATGATACCTGGTGATTTTAAAAGAATGAGGACAAGAAAATCACGTTCTCAGAAATTTCCAAAGATTCTGGCAGGAGAGTTCAACATCCCAAGCAAGTGTATGTAAACTGAAATGAGTATTTCGAACACAGAACACACTCAACTTGCATATTGCAATGAGCAGTTAGTCTTCTCACTGGCAGACTGCACATTCACCCATGACCATACTATGGAATAAAGAATTCTGTACTRTATTAATCAGTGGATATTTCATTAAAATGTCAGGAATTGTCTCCGAATCTTGTATACTAAAACTTATTGTTGGATTTCAGTACTAAGTACCTTTTTAAAAAAAAGTCCATCAGAAAAGATAATAAATTGTTATACGCCTATAATGGAAGAATATTTATATATACACAAATGCTTAGCTGGACCATGACATGCTATGTGCTACCATTTTAACAAGCAGCTGCTTAGTAACCTTCCATGGACTCTTATGAAAGCAGTAAAAAGAGTAATATTGTAGTACTACAGAAATGGTTTAGATAATGTAGTCCAGGAATTGTTTCCTTTGTCTTGGCACTTCCCTTCATATCTATACAAACCAATTTAAAAAAACTGATCAAACAACAACAACAAAAATCAAGCAATGGGAAGCAGCCCACTTCTGCAATATACTGCTGAGGGGATGGAATGTGATTTAAATGAAGATATAAGGTCAATTCTACTTTTTGGGTAAAACCCTCTGAATTCYGTGTGCCATATAAGGAATTAGAATCTCAACTAGAAACAAGTCTGGGAAGAGTCTCACTCTCAGACACATCAGTAAGGCTTCTGATTTCTAGTTTTTCCGAACCCTAGTGAAAGCTGAACACAGGACACTACGACCTCCTCTGCACACCCACCAGTTTATACTCCTTTTTTGCACCTTTGCAATAAAACCTTGCTGCTACAGCAGCAAAGCCATGTGCTGAAGCACGTGYTCGTCACCTGGATTACACCGTGGTGGCCGCCCTTCATCCCCTGCCCCAGGGGAGCCTCTTCCCTCCTCAACTGCCCCACTAATCCACCCAGCTTTAGTCTGCCAGCTTTGCAGCCTCCCTGTTGTTACCAAATTACAGGCTCTGCAGGCAGGGTCTTTATCTTGCTATCTGTACCCAGTCTCCTGCAGTTAGAGACAATTATCTACAGCTACTAATTCCTATTTAGCTCTAATGGAACAGACACAGAAAAGCAGTGTTAAATCCTCGTCTTTTGTAGAAATTCTGCACAGCAGACCCAGGAACATCCTGTTTTCACTTCTGCGAGATGATAATATTAAATAGGACAGGGAATAAATAGGAACTATGTCTTCACTGCTTATGCTCATACATGTTTATTTGGAGGATTAAGTGTCTCTACTAAAACAACAAAACTGTCTAGTCTCAAAAAAAAAAAAAAAAAAGTTTTCCCCTGGAATGAAAAAAGTAGTTTTCCCTCTAGAAGGTATCAGTAAGATGAAAGAAATTTCAAGAGTTGCTAATATAGTTGCTTTGTAATTTTTAATAAACACATAAGGTTTGCAGATACTACATATGGTACTTAGATAGCAGGAGTGTGCCAGCTGCTATTATCTTATTACTTGGTTTGCTCAAGACGTTTTTCTCCCTCCCTTCAACAAGTTAATATCATTAGCTCTGCCTGGGGGAAACTGAGTCTCAGTGAGGCAAGTTCACTCCGCAGGMCAACAACAGAAGGAATAAACGGGCTCCTTCAAGGCTCAATCTTATGTCCTACTTGCCATCCTTTTGCCACCAGCAAGCCCAGCAYTCAGATGTCTCATAGGAGAAACTCAGCAGAGAGTTATCTTCAAAACACAGTCCTGCCCTAACCTGGGTGCGTTACCACTTGCCCAGGAAATGCAAAAGCCTTTCACTTCTTTTCTGCTGCTTTCTCAAGCAAGTGAAGAGTAAGAGCAGTGCTGGTGCTCCCAAGAGGACCAGGTTCTCTCCAGGAAAGTGGTGTTAGTCATGTCATCGCTGCAGGGTGACGGACCTGCTCCTTCCTTTCCCAGGAAGCCGGGCAGGGAGCCGCGGAGCCTGCGGGTAGTCCCAAGCTGCAGCCCAGCGTGCTGGGGCTCTCRCGGGACCAAGCGCCTGCCGCAGGCACCAGGAGCCCGCGACCTTCCGAGCCAGGAGGAGGGAAACAACTGTCCCATGGAGACAAATCAGGAGCATCTTCATGCTGAAGCTCTGGCTGGCTGCTGGCCTGGCTGCTCYGCTAGCGAGCGGCAAAAGCGGCCGAGTGATCTGCACCGCACGGGCTTGCGGCCAGGCAGGCTYGGGCTGCGCACAGAGCCACTGGCCTCATTCCCATTTTCCCCTGACATTCCTATTTCTGTTCCTCCATTTATCCATGAACAGCTGCTGCATGTATCACGGGGTAAATGGATATCCATTCATTCCGAGCAGCAGACCTCACTGGTTGCAGGAGATCTGATCAACAACACTTACAGTTCTGAAGAGACTATCAAGATTTATTTTGCAGTTCATGTACACAGGAATTGTACTGCAAACTAGTAACACTGAATGCCTGGAAAGGTATGGCTTTTCAGAGCCTAAAATATGAAAAATATTTTCTGATCTTTCTGGTCCTTTTTTTTTATGGAGGAGGAAAGCTTCACTAGTACCTGCTTCTTCATTTATTATGGACATTAAGTTAAACAGAGTTTCCTCTTAAATTCAGTCTAATCAAATTAATAGCAATATTATTCTGAGTCACGCTAATCTAATTAGTGTCAATATTTAATAAATTTTCTACAAATTATGCTGAAAATGAGCTTCTTGCTTTCCATCAAGAAGTCTGGAAAGTATAAACAGCATTTCCTTCCAGTCCAGGAATCCGTGGCAAATACCAGCAAGGGCTGGCCTGGCGAATGAAGCAGTTGCTCCTTGACTGCCCTGCCGGCAGCCTGCGCATGCACTTTATTTCATTAATACTTTAAAGGTACACAGAAAACTCAACAAATAATTGCTGATTCAAAGTACATTCTTCTCCTTACTGCTTTTCATATATCCCTGTAACATTACTGTCATGACAGGACTGAGCATATATTTAAAAACACTCATGCCATATGATCAGGTGTGTTCATACCACAGGCCAGAACCATCACTATAAGGATGCTAAAGAAAGTCTGAAAAATATTAACTACACAGACACATTACTATAGAAATGAATCATCAGAGTGGATTTCAACACCTATCTAGAGATGTACAAATGGTGAGGAACTCCGTGCACAGCTGAGACTGTGTTCCTTTAAACAACTGGGAAATTATAGGGTACTTACTTCAAAAGTAGCATCAAATTATATTTCATGAAATACTACCGTGTTATCATTAACCCAAGTTTATTTTCCTACCTAAATCATTTTTTTCAGTACACAACTGAAGAGGGGTTTCTGCTGTGTCACTGCAGGGCTCTGTCAGTCCAATGCTACTGAACTGCTGTATCTAATCACACATCTCAGTGCTGAGCCTCCAGCAGAAGGGAGAGGCTAACACAGAAGATTGATAGGAAAATCCACTGGCTGAAACTACTTCTCTCTAAATACCTCTCAAACAACTGTCTCCAGCAGAGAGATCCACACAAGCCTGCGTGCTGGCTAATGATCAAGTCAAAAAGTAGTTAGATTCACTCCTGTTAGTGTTAGCTGATTGCAAAAATGCACGGTTAGGAAGCTGCACGGGTAGTGAGTGTTAGTCGCTGAAAAGTAAATAGAGTAAATCTTTATAGACTCCTACATACCACTGTTAGAGTGCATACAAGGAGATCAGCATTAAGTTCTATATAACGGGTTTCATCTTTGATCACTCTAACAGAATTATGTTCCTTCTATCAAAGTCTTCTTTCAAGTAATAAACTTGCTGAACATGATATCATAACCCAGCTGAACAGTTCACTGCTCATGAGGAAAGAGCAGGCATGTGGCCACTGCGATTGCACGAGGGAGCTTCAAGCAGAATCTCACTTATTTTTGTTCTAGTAGTAACAAGTTAAACATGATTTGATCCAAACCAACATTCCCTTTTGAATTTGGACTCAACAACAAATAAATCATGTATTTTCACATCAAGAGCTTACAGAGAAACACAACGAAAACTGCACTATTAACCATCTCCAGAAGTTTAAAAGTAAATCATGAGATTAATTTCTTTACAAATTGTAATGCTTTTTACACTATACATTAGATAGTTGTTCCTTTTCCCTTGATACGAGAATCCCTATACTTCTGCCTTTTTTGCAATATCTCTGTTAACGATTGTTACACTACTGCCTACCAAAAAATGATTAGTATTTACTGGTCCTCTGCAACTTTTATGGACAAAAGAAAGTGCTTTTGTTCTGATCTTTCTCCTTCCTAGTGATAAGAAATTGTTCTCTGCATTTATATCACACACTGGTGGTGTATGATATGAGTGGTGGTGTGTGATAAGAGGGGTTTCAGCAGTAGCATGTTTCACTTATTTTTTCTTTTTATTTTTTTCGTGTCTCTCTTCAAATGTATGTAAGATTAATGTCAATTAGGCAAAATTCCTTAAATGTTCTCCTTGCTCCAGACAGGGCAAGGACAAGCTCTTTGCAGACTCCCTATAGCCTCAGCCTCCTTGTTCATTTTTACACTTCACCACGACCAGCCACCCAACTGGCCTCTGAATTCCAGGCCCCCTCCAGCATTCCTCATTTGGTCACCCAAGCTTCATGTGGCTTTTATCATTCATAATTATATTCTCTCTGTGATATTCCTCAGCACTGCCCACGGGACACATCTTCCAAACTTCCCATCATTTATTTTTTCCCACTAAAATGGGTCTAATTTTCTACATTTGTTTTAAAGTGTGGTACTCAAAACTGGACAGAGTGGTTTGGCTGAAACCTCTCCAGCATCACCAGCAAAGTAGAGAACAGTCCGAAGTCATGAAACCCAGTATTTTTATGGTGCTGCTTGTTATACAGCAGGGCTATCTAGCAAGTTATTTCTCATTTAGCATTAATACATTTGACTTTTTTCTTCTAAAATATAGACTTTTGCACTTGCCTTAATTTCATGTGACTGATTTTGAGCCTCCTCTAATTGTTTAATATTATTTTATTAGGAACTGAAGTGACTGCAGCTACTTTCAACTCCATGTTACTGGCAAATATTTTCTGTTCTTCACGTTATCACACATTCTATTCTAAAATGGTCATCATCATTCAGGCTCCTAATGAAAATYAGGAGGAACATGCCTGGGATAAATCCCACCTGAAGTGCATGATAGTAATTAATTTTTTTTTTTTCTAAATGCTTTTTTCCCCCCACAAAAAATCATCACCTGAAGGAAATTCATTGTTTTCCAGAATTTCTTTGCTTAATAGAAAGCAAGAGAGAATGAAAATCCTTGCTAAAGCACATAAGTGTCACATCTACTCTTCCCTCTCAGCTGCCTTTACTATTATTGACTGTCTTGACACATAGTCTTGCTTAGTTTTCTTTCTGTTTGAGCCTGAGTTAAATTCACAGTGTGTTTCTGAATTCCTGACTAATCACTAGGTCATTCCCATCTGGCTCTAAAAAGTGTTAATCTTTGTGCCTGTTTCTGTGTCTGCCTTCTCAATAACTCAGAACCACCTCATCACGCAGCCTGTAATTAAGACCCACAGTTTGATTATAATTCCTCACGTTCCCACCCAAACTTGTCCCTGGTTCCACCCATACTGCTCCTCTGTCCATCTCATCTCTTGCTTTATATCTGAATCATAAAACGGACCCAGGTTCAGCGTGCTAGTTGTTCTGCGCTCTGCAGTTCCCGGGCGTCTCACTTTATCCCAGCTCAATCTCAGAGGCGGGATAACAAGATAACAACACCCGCGTTTAACAACATTAACACAAACGTCATGACAACAAGTCACGGCTGCAACAGGAGGGTTTCCTAACCAAGGTCTGGTGCCTCTAAGCAATAACGTGAGAAACTCCTGGCATGAGATTGCAGAGGGCAAGATCAGGTTACTCCTGCTTAAAATTAAGAGCCACATAATGTAATTTACTATCCCCTGCAATCTGCATTCTGCAAATGTCTGCTCCTATTGATGGATTTAGCTTCAAACGAAATGTTGAAATCAGCAGGAAACTTTCTGACAAGCTTTCAAAGCCAAATACAGAAAAGCAGTGGAAGTTCTGGTGTTACATAAATATTTTTCTTATATAGTTAAACACTACCACTTTATCCTTCCTCAGTACTGTGATAAAAAACACATTTAAATAAACACGGTTTCAAATGGATGTTTTAATTTTTGCCTGCTTTAGTGTATTATGCTTTTCTTCATTCACTGAAAGTATTACAGGTAAGATCCCTCCAGCTGAGTTAGCTACCAACATTAGAAAAATGTCACATTTTTCCAAAGCCTTTGATTCACTTACCTTTAGTTTAAACTACAAAAATAATCACTTGTGAAAAAGATAGCTTAGAATAACTCCTTGAACTATTTCTTTTATCCACGTTGTTCAAATTCTAACAAGCTTACCTTCTGTCAGCCTGATGCCACTCCACTTGCAAGAATATCTCTGTTCAAAAGTTGACCAGGTTCTACGTCACCAGTCGCCTCTGCATCATGTTTGGGATCGAAGATGCCTCCTGTCAATATTGTGGCTCGATGTTAGTAAAGATGACTAAAGTAAAAATAGCAAATCAGGTATTCAAATAAAATGTGTTCTTGTTTTTTTTTTTTTTTTTTTTNTTTTTTTTTTTTTTTTTTTTTTTTTTTTTTTTTTTACATTAAGCAGATAGCCAAACTGCTGCAGATCTCTGGAAGTCTATTTAATTTCAGTAAGCATCTGCAATCTGCAAAATAATTTGCTAACAAATTTCAGCCTCAGTGCATGTTTACAAGCCACATTTGCTGTTTCAGTCATGCAATTGCTCAAACTGCTCAAATAGCACTATTCTATATTCTGATCAGGGTATCACATTTGCATGCATTAATAATATTTTAATATTAATACAAGTAATTTTATAAATGTTTAGTGAACAATGAGTTCTCTAGAGCATAAGTGGGCACAGATGAATGGCTGTTTGCAAAAGTCATATCCTAGCATGGTCAAGATAAAAATAGTTTATGTAAATGTTCCCCAAAAAGCAAATAATTATAATTATTATGAACAGACAGATAAATATTATGTTCAGCCCAAGTATGTTTTGCTAAYGCTGTGTTTCTATCATGTGCCTGCATCCTTGGGCGGGCTGCAACAGGAAGGGGCGAGGGCGCAGGCGGCGATGTGGAGCAGGGGGCCCTGCTCCCGCCTCCAGAGGCTGCGGCTCCCCCGGGACAGCGGGACCCTTCCCGGGCCCTTCCCTTCCCTTTTGGGACACCCCAAAGGGCCGCAGGCCTTCGCCCTGCTCCAGTCACTGCAGTTTCAGGCAGGGGGCTAATAATAGGCAGAGCTGTTTACAGTGCTCGGGCAGTTGTGGCTGTTACAGCCACATAMAATAATTCATTCCTGCCTTACAAAGCACTGGTCTTTCAACAGCTTGGCAAAAGTATTGCAGCACTGCAAAGGTCAGCAAAGGCCTCACGCTGTAGAACTGGGCAGATAAAGTGAAGCCTGCTGGAAATCTGAAGATGACTTGGATTTAAAACCTAAATGGCTTTAATACAATTGATGAATAATTTTAATTAAACAGAAGTTATTATATAAGCCATTATTTTATTATTATTATATCAGCCATTATTTTATTACTAGACCATTTAAACAGTCCTTATAAAAAGATTAGAAAATATTRACTGTTAATATTTCATTTAAGATGTTCGGTTTAAAATTAATTCTGATTAAATATTTCTCTTTAAAAACTGCATTATTAGTATTAGATTAGTGGAGCATGCACAACAGACTCTACAATTCTATATTTTTCTAGACATGAAAAACTTACCTTTGTTTTTAGAAAATGCTTTTCCACTCCTGAAATACAAAGAAGAAAAATCACCACAGTGTTTTTTGATTTTGCTGATAGATATACCTTGTGCAGCACAGACCGAAAACAAGATAACTGCCAAGAACAAATAACTTTTGTTTCAATAGATTAGAAAATGAATCATCCATGTTATTTTTAGCAGATTATTAAGAGCTGACAGTTAAATCTGTAAACTGACTTGTGTGGGTTTTTTTATTCTTGTTAACATAACCTTTTAAGATAGCTAGGATTTAACACAAAAGACATTCAGTGACTGGAAATAATCTCTCAATTTTAAAAGGCCAGYGGGCCATTCAATAGGACATGCTTCACATGAATCTCCTATTCACCCAATGTTCTATCATTTAAACATAATCTAGCTAAACAAAGCAATAGATTTTACGTGAAAATGTAAGAAACTGGATTTGTTTTCATTCCATAAATATTTACAAGACTGAGATAAGAATGTTCTAGCTGTTGGGAAGAAATGGTCTCGTTTTAAATGGAAGATGTTGGAGGCTGGACATAACTGAGCAGACATTTTGTATTTAGCTTTTAGCATTTAGCTTTTTTAGCATTTAATTTCAGAATATATGTTTATTCTAATTTCAGTGAGGCTGAACCAAAAGAACTTGCTGAAATAAGGAGTATCTAACAATCTAACACTTTTTTTTATTATTATTTTATTATTTTTTTTTTTTTATTGTTACTCTGTAGTCATCCTTCCTTCTAGTCAAACATTACATTTCTTCTGAGTCAAGACCAGGAGGGGTTGTGACCACTCTTTCTTCCACAACAGAAGAGTTATTTTGGACAAACCCAAGCACATTTATTTCATCTGTACCTCCCGGCATACCTTTGAAGCTCTCTAAATCCAGAAAAAAAAATGCTGTCTATAGTAGTGCCAGTTGCTCCCAACTGTGGTCCCAAGATCTTCTTGCACAAATGCATGGTGAAAATGAGTACTGCTCCCAAGATTTTGAAAACTAGTACTAGATCTAATTAAAACACATGTATGTATTTTAGTTTGAAAAGCATGAATAGACTCTTGAGGTAGGTACCCTTTTTGAAGGTCTRCAAATATATAAAAATGAATCTGGGCCTTGGAGAAAGTATTAAATAATGCAGAAATAAGAGACAGTTTTGTTTTCCACATGAGCACAAGAGAGCAAAAATCCCCCAGTAAAATTGAACTCAATACATTTTCCCAAGGTCAGTTATGGTTTTGAAAAATCTTACTGGTACTTTTCTCCAGCAGAGAAGCCTCTGCTATACAGAGGAATTAAATAAATCTCTGGATATTTACAAAAACATGCTATGAAAATAACAGACATACACATTCAGAGCATGTTAATGCTGACACCAAAGCCGGAGAAGAAAAGCTGAGAAAAGGAAAAGGTGAACTAAAAATACTGCATTCTTCTACCATCCATGGGCAATCATTCTCTTCTGAAGCTGTTTCCATTTCCCAGAAAAGAAATCTAATGAAGACAAGAGTTATGACTGAAAACATTGTTCCACAGCTGTAGCATTCTCAGCTCCTCTAGTTTCTAAAATGAGCTGGTTTTACAAAGGGCAGACTCGACAATATGCTAAAGCTAAAGAGACTACAGATTTTTCACTGAGTAGTGGCGCAAAACTTTCTAAAATGTGTATTTGCAAAGAAGCAATAAGCTACATACTTAGTTTGCATCCTTTAACAGCTTAACATGATATTGGGAATATGAGAAATGCCATTTTTTAATTGAAATTAAATGAAATATTTCCCTGAAAAGTGAGCAGAACTGTTGCTATCACGAATTGTCACTCAGTTCCCTGGGACTAGCAGGGCGCCCTTCAGATGAGCTGGTCTTAACTGTAAGTACCCAGCACAGTGAGCAGGCGCGCTGACTGCAGCTCTCACGACTGTGGCAAGAGTCATACAACACCAAAAATCACGGTGCAACTGAATTGCTGCTGAAAGGCACATCTGAGGGTTTGGCTCTATTGGCAAGGGCAAGTTTGTAATTGGGCTTGCACATACCTTTCCTAATGCGGCTCGACTTGTTTGAGCAATATGCCATACATGGCTTCAACAGGACACCATCCATTATCTTTCCTATATTTCACTTAAAAATGTTCTATATTGGAAGTGTTAACAGTGCAATCGTGTGCATTCATCGTGCTTGCATTTGTTTGCCACAGCGTTGCAAGCAGATTTACAAGGGCATACTCTCCAGGCGGTGCAACCCCTTCCATTTTACAAAGAACAAATCACTAACATAATCAATGAGCCAAAGATGCTCCTAATACTAGTGTACTTCTTTCCCAGACTCACTTTCATTAATTTTTTTATACTGCACTGTTCAATATTGTATTGATTGCTCTGTACTAAAAAATCCTTAGGCAAAACATTTAGTCCAGACAGCTAGAGCTGTCTGTTTGCAAAGAACATGCATCATTAGAATATTAAGAAAGAAACTGTGCTTTTCAGCATGTTTTACTCTTATTACAAAGAGGTCATGGGCAAACACTTGAGCTCCTGTCTAGGAAAACACCTGGGAGTTCAATCCTGTAAGCGCAGCTGGACAAACACAGACACAGACAGAGTCCAAGGGTTCACCTCAGCTTAATGATCTGGGCACTGCTATGGAACCAAGACCACCTCGGTCACCCAGCCCTTCAGATCCGGGACATCCATCACTCCCCGCAGTTTCCAAGCAGGACTGACCATGAGCTGAGCCTGGCACCGCGAGCAGATGATGCTGCGAACCCCACAGCACCTCGGGCAGCCATCCTGGGTCGTGGCAATGCAAACAGKGGTGCTAGCGCAGGCAGCAAGGCGCCTCATGAAACTGCAGCAACACCAAGAGCTGCCTGAAGACACTGGAGGGGTTTGGGTTTCCTTACGGGGATATTTCTTTTGTTACCGAGTCACAAGTAGAATTACAGACTCATGGACTCACAGAATGGTTGAGGTTGGCAGGGACCTCTAGGGATCATCCAGTGCAGCCCCTGCTCCAGCAGGGACACCCAGAGCTCGGGACACSCGGTCCCATCCAGGCGGGTTGGCAGATCTGCAGAGCAGGAGCCTCCGCAGCCTCCCTGGGCAGCCTGGGCCAGGGCTGGGCACCCTCACAGGGAAGAAGTTCCTCCTCACATGGAGATGGAGCTGCCTGGGCTTCAGCTTGGACCCACTGCCCCTGCTCCTGTCACCGGCCACCAACAAGAAGAGTCTGGCCTCCTCCATTAAACAATCAGCTGAAAAAATACACAAGTAGTTAAAAGAAAGCTGCATAAACTGCAATGTAAGACATTATTTCTTTTTAGCAAATAAAGATTGACAGGGCATAAGATGCATGAAGAACCTGAATTCTCCGGCTGACCACACAGAGCTAGAATTCCGGTTTGCTAGCTGCCCCAAAC